GAGTGAGTGAGTGAGTGAGTGAGTGAGTGAGTGAGTGAGTGAGTGAGTGAGTGAGTGAGTGTGAGTGTGCGTTTGTGTGTGTGTTTGTGTGTGAACTCACATCCACCGCAGCTGCTGATTCAGTGTTTCTGCATTTTGTGGTTCACACTATCAGTCAACAAAAATAAATATGTATAATGTTTTTGAAAGAATATAGATTTGTAATTGTTTTTTAATGTTCTTAAAGTAAGACTCTCCTGCAGTGCTCACCAAGGCATTTATTTGATCAAAAATACAGTAAAAACAGTGAAATATTATTAGAATGTAAAACAGCTGTTTTCTGTGTGAATCTCTGTTAAACTGTAATGTATTTCTGTGATGTGCAGCTGTATTTTCAGCATCATTCCTCCAGTCTTCAGTGTCACATGATCTTCAGAAATCAGTATAATATGCTGATCTGCTGCTCCAGAAACATTTCTGATTATTATCAATGTTGAACACAGTCGTGCTGCACAATATTTTTGTGGAAACTGTGATACATTTTATTTTTCAGGATTCACAGATGAACAGAAAGTTCAGAAGAACAGCATTTATTTGAAATAGAAATCTACTGTAACATTATAAATGTCTTAACTCTCACTTTTGATCAGTTTAATGCGTCCTTCATGAATAAAAGCATTAATGTCTTTTTTTTTCTTTTTTCTTCTAAACTTTTAAATGATAATGTAAAAATCTTAGTCATTCCAAACTTTTGACAGGTAGTGTATATATTTGATGGAATTTAGAATTTAGAATTTAAAAAAAAAAATTCTACTTCAATGTCTTTTTTTTTATTTGACTTGGTTTATAACTAATGAATCATTCATAACCATGGACACGATCTGGGAAAGTACATTTGATTTTTTGTAATCACATCATAACTTTCCTCTGACGTTCGGCTCAATGAAAAGATGCACATATAAATCTTAATTCTGCTAATTTTTACATCTCTAGTTTTTATCTATTTTATTTTTTTGTAAGTTTTAGTTATTTTAGTAAAATGAGAAATGTTGGCAACTAGCTGAAATTAAATGTGTTTTTTTTAGATTTTATTTTATTTTATTTCTGTTAACTTCTTTTTAATTTCCTGTCAGTGTCGCAGTTTCGTCCTCCTTGGATCATGTGACTGCCTCCTGCAGACCGGAGGAGTGTGTGAACTTCACCATGAACAACAAGGACGCACCGACTGAGTCTGGTCCGTCACACACACACTCGCACACTCACACACTCACTCACACTCACTCACACGCACTCACTCGCACTCACACACTCACTCACTCGCACTCACACACACACTCGCACACTCACACACACACTCACTCTCACTCACACACACACTCGCACACTCACACACACACACACACACACACACACACACACTCGCACACTCACACACACACTCACTCTCACTCACACACACACTCGCACACTCACACACACACTCACTCTCACTCACACACACACTCGCACACTCACACACACACACACACACACACACACACTCACTCGCACTCACACACTCACTCACACGCACTCACACACTCACTCACACTCACTCACACTCACACGCACTCACACACTCACTCACACGCACTCACACACTCACTCACGTGAGTGTGTGTGTGTGAGAGAGTGTGTGTGTGTGTGTGTGTGAGTGAGTGTGTGTGTGTATGACGTGACGCTCACGGGTTTCTCTCTGCTCCTGCAGTGTCTTTACGGTTGTTATGTTCATTCCTCCATCGTCCCAACATTCCACAGGAGATGCTATTGGCTGCTGCAGGTTAGTTATTATGAGCATGTGACACTAATCTACCCAATCAGAAGCCAGGATCTGTGCATGTCAAAGAAGTTATTGTAGTAATAGAAATATTTTTATACAGCGTCTGTGCATTACGTTAGCGTTGTTCAGTGTTTACAGTGAACATGAAATAAAATAATTAACTTAAAAAAGGTAATTTAAAATAAAAACTGAAGTTTTTTTTTTTAAATTTGACATTTTTATGACTTGATAATAAGTGTTTTATTTTAATTGTTTATATTCTAAAATGATTTCTTTATTTAAATTGTACATGTTTATGATTTATAAAATTTCTAGTAAGCATTTTTATTTAAATTTGTTTAATTGTACATATTTGATTTAATTAATTTTTTAGTTTTATATTAATTTTTTATTTTTAAATCATGTCTTTATTTCAATTTTACATTTTGATGATTTTATTAATTTTAGAAAGTTTTAAAATGTTTTATTTTAAATTGTTTTATTATAAAACAATTTATTTTATTTTTTGATTTCATACATTTTTAGTGTTTTATTTTAATATTTTTTTGCATTCAGATTATTTATGTCAGTTTTACATTTTTATGATTTCATAATTTTTTAGTAATTGGTTTATATTAATTGTTTTTATTTTAAAAACTTTCCTTATTTTAATTTTATATTTTTTAATTTTATAACTTAATTTTTTTGTAAGTTTTATTTTATATTCTCTTTTTTTATTTCATTTTTAAATGTTTGTGATTAAAATGTAAGTGTTTTATTTTATTTGATTTTATTGTAAAAATGTTTGTTTATATTAAATAAACATTTTCATGATTTAATGCATTTTTAGTAAGTGTTTTATTTTCATTATTTTTATTTTAAAACTATTTCTTCATTTATTTTTTAAATAGATTTAAATGTTTTCAGATTTATTTATTTTTTAAGTGTATTACATTAAGTTTTTATTTTTTAATTATTTTACATTTTTATGATTTGTTAAATTTTAAATTTGTTAAAATGACACTGTTTTATTAAAAAAAAATATGACTGTTTTATTAGAAAATTTAACTGACCCGTGTGTGTGTGTGTGTGTGTGTTCAGAACCCAGACATTGTTCTCGTGCACTATCTGAACGTGCCGTCGCTGGAGGACAGTGTGAAGTCGTGTGCTCTGACCGACCGCAGGGACACTCTGCGCTGGAGCCAAGACGAACTGCTGTCTCAACTCAAACCCATGTGTGAGTGACCAATCACACGCCTGCAGCACGAGCAAACCACCAATCACACGCCTGATCTGAATCTATCTCAGAATGGCCTCTTCAGGAAGTACAGTATTTCATCTATTACATATGAGAGTGCTGCAAACATGCGGTCGCTGTGGTACAGGCAGAATAATTGACTCCGGACCGCTGAAGAGTTGAAAATTTAATGCAAAAAACCTCAAATCACTCCCTGTGTGCGTTACATTTTCAATAATTCAGCGTTTGATCGTCAGAACATTTGAGACTCTATATCTGTGTTTGTGTGTGGGTTTAGTCCACAGTATGAAATGGTCTTGTGGAGGCAACGGTTCTGTCGAGCTCTCAGTGGAGCAGATGGTGCAACAGATCCTAGAAACACAACAGACCAAACCACAACCACGAACACACACCTGCCTCTGCGGTAAACACACACTCTCACACACACACACACACACACACTCACACACGCTCTCACTCACTCACACACACAGACACACACACTCACAGTCAGACAGACAGACACACACACACGCTCACACACTCTCTCTCTCACACACACACACACACACACACACACACACACACAAACACACACA